TGTTACAACAGTTTTGGATGAGGTGAAAACAAACTTTCAACTCAAGACAGAACACAAAACAATGGGTATAATATTGGGTAAGTTAGAGGAAAGAATGGAAGTAACTGCAAAGGGCATATTGGCCCATATTTCTTGATGCTTCTATATTGGTGCGGAGTCTTGAAGTGGGTAGAATATAGTTGTGCATTAATTGGCTGTTGATTGCTGGTGTTGACTTCTTAATGTGTAGTGCCTCGCAGATATCAAGCCGCCTGCTATCGCTGTATCCATCGATGATTTCCGTGTTTTTTGTTAAGACTTCTCTGGTGATGGTCTAGTTGTGGGAAGAGATTACATGTTCCTTAATGGAGCCCTGTTGCTTATGCATCGTTGATCGCCTGGAAAGAGATGTTGTTGTCTTGCCTATATACTGAGTTCTTTGAGACTTACAGTCCCCAGGTGGGCATTTGAAGGCATAGACGACATTGGTCTCTTTTAAAGCGTTCTGCTTTGTGTCTGGAGGTTTCTCATGAGTAGGTTGGCCGTTTTCTTTGTTTTATAGTAAATCGTCAATTGTATCTTCTGATTTTTGTCTGTAGGGAGAACGTTTTTATTAACAATATCTTTCAGGACCCTTTCCTCCGTTTTATGAGCTGTGGAATAGAAGTTTCAGTAAAATAGTCTAATAGGGGGTATAGGTATTGTGTTAGTTGTCTCTTCAGAGGTTGCATGGCGATTAATCTTCCTTGTTATGATGTCTTGAACGAAACCTTTGGAGAAGCCGTTGTTGACTAGGACTGCCTTACCCTCATCCTCCCTCCACCTCCCTATATATAATAATATATATTTATATATATATATATATATATATATATATATATATATATATATATATATATATATATATATATATATATATATATATATATATATAAGTAAGATTAATAATTCTAACACCAATTTTCTCAATATTTCTTATGTTTCTTTTTACTGTCGATGGTAATTGAAAAATAAATTCTCCAAAATTCATTTTTATTTCTAGTCTAACGCGACGCTTGAACGCGTTTCGTAATAACTTATTACATTTTCAAAGACTTTAGTTTACACACACAACTGTAACCTGAAAACACTAAACAGAGTTTTACTTATACTAACACTGAACAGCTTATCCGTCTTACATATACTCGCACTTGGGTGAGGTGATATGGGGCAGCAGTTATGGATGATGTGAACAAATTTGTGACAAATGGAAGACAGAACACGAAACAATGGGTATTAGTTGGATGGAAGTAACTGCAGAGTCCCTATTGGCCCATACTTTCTCTTGATTCTTCTATATTGGTTCGGAGTTTTGAAGTGGGTAGAATATAGTTGTGCATTAATTGGCTGTTGTAAATATATATACATATATATATATATATATATATATATATATATATATATATATATATATATATATATATATATATATATATATGTCGTACCTAGTAGCCAGAACGCACTTCTCTGCCTACTATGCAAGGCCCGATTTGCCTAATAAGCCAAGTTTTCATGAATTAATTGTTTTTCGACTACCTAACCTACCTAACCTAACCAAACCTAACTTTTTCTGCTACCTAACCTAAAGATAGGTTAGGTTAGGTTAGGTAGGGTTGGTTAGGTTCGGTCATATATCTACGTTAATTTTAACTCCAATAAAAAAAAATTGACCTCATACATAATGAAATGGGTAGCTTTATCATTTCATAAAAAAAATTAGAGAAAATATATTAATTCAGGAAAACTTGGCTTATTAGGCAAATCGGGCCTTGCATAGTTGGCCGAGTACGACGTTCTGGCTACTAGGTACAACATATGTCTATATATATATATATATATATATATATATATATATATATATATATATATATATATATATATATATATATATATATATATATATATTCGCAAGCATGGTGGATGTCCTATGTCAGGGAGGCCTCTCCTGGGAGGAGGCATCACTCAGGAGCCCGTTGCACCAGTGTATATCGCAACAGACGACCTGCTAGAGGCAATTAAAGCAACGTCAACCAGGACACTCACCCACATCCCAAAGGCCTCTCGCCCATTTGCTGCCGGGAAATACACGGACCTCATCCGAAAAATTAACAGAGGGTCAAATAACCTTGATGAACAAGATACCATCAAAGCGTGGCACAATCTGTTACTTTCTGGCAACGCATGCTTAGGTGTACCAGACAGAGGAGGCAAGACACTGGCCTCATCCGTCAATAAAGCAATTAGGGATTTTCCTAGGGCTGACAACCTATCCGCCTCCCCAAACACACCAAACACCGCCGAGTCAGACCAAGTACGACAATCAGCGACAACAGAAAATTAGGTACCCAACTCATCAAGAAAATTGAAGAGGGCAATGCAGTCGGGGCACTCAAGTTGATCACAAGTGAGGACAAAATTTTGCCCAGGGATGAAACCACAGCCCAAGCACTGAGAGAAAAACACCCCCTCAATCCCTCAATGCCGTAGGGGGACCTCCCCCACAGGTCAGGGTCCCCCTAACCAGGAACCTCTCGTCCTCCGGGAGTCAGAGGTTTATAAAGCTATCGTTTCATTTCCCCCGGGCTCCTCAGAAGACTACACAGGGGTAAGACCTCAACATGTGAAGGAAATGGTGAACCCTGTTCTTGGCCCAGCTGCAGAAGCGCTCCTGACAGAAATCACAACGTTTGTCAACAACTGCCTCGCCGGGTTAATCCCTGATGAAATCAAACCATTCTTCTTTGGTGCATCCCTATGTGCCCTCAAAAAGAAGGGGGGAGGGATCAGACCCATTGCCGTTGGTAATACCCTTCGTCGCCTAGTTGCAAGGGCTGCTGTCAGAAGTATCCGAATGGGTGCAGCCACCATGCTGCAACCCAACCAGCTGGGGTTTGGAATCCCCCAAGGCTGTGAAGCAGCAGTCCATGCTGCACGAGCAGCATGGGCCGCTGCTCTCATGCTGTAACTAAGTAAGAGTAAGCATAAGCTTACTCTTTTCAGTAAGAGTAGCATAAGCTCTGTTACTGAAAACCAGGCAGTAGTAAAATTAGATTTTAAAAACGCTTTCAACTCGGTCAAAAGGGAAGCAGTCCTCACCGCAGTCCAGGAACATTGCCCAAGCATTCTCCCGTTTGTGTCAGCAGGTTACAGCAAATACTCAACTCTCCTGTTTGGCAAACACGAAGTCACCTCAACAGAGGGAATTCAACAAGGAGACTCACTTGCACCCTTCCTCTTTTGCATAGCGGTTCGAGAAATTACAATGAGACTGTCCAGTGAGCTCAACATCTGGTTCCTGGATGATGGCACTCTGGCAGGCACACAAGATTCCCTGCTGGAAGACCTGCAGCTGGTGAAGACACGGGGGAAGACCATGGGTCTCATTCTTAACTCCTCCAAGTGCGAAATTATTGCATCCAGTTGGTAATCATTAGATCAGTGAAATCAGTTTTACCAGAAGCATCAGTCATTAAACCCACCGACAGCACACAACTTGGAGCACCTCTGGGCCACAATGTCATTGCTGCAGTCCTTGATGAAAAGTTTAACGACCAAAAGAGGATGGAAGCGAGAATAGGGGACTTGGACTTCCATGATGTCCTCTACCTTCTCACAAAGAGCCTTACTTTGCCCAGGCTAACATACTTCTTAAGGTGTGAACCACTTCTAAATCAATATGATGAGCTCCCCACGTCAATATTCAGGAAGGCGCTCAACCTAGATTTAGATGACAGTCAGTGGGACCAAGCAGCACTACCAGTGAGATTTGGGGGGATAGCCATACGAAAGGCAACTGAGGTAGCACTTAAAGCATTCTTATCCTCATGCACAGCAGCCAACGAATTGGTAGGGCAGATCCTACCAGAAAATATGAGAGAAACAGTGGGAACTCATGACCAAACGTTCATCGAAGCAGCCATACAATGAGACACCATTGCATACCCTCAACCCCGATCACAAGCCCCAAAAGACCACAAGCAGGCCACTCGGATAGCCCCATAATGGAAAAGACTGTCACAGCAATGATTGACAACGCTGATGCTGAAAACAAAGCCCGCCTCCTAGCAGTAACAGCACCCCACGCCGGGGATTTTTTATTTGCTGTGCCCAATGCAGCCCTGGTAACTCGCCTCAGTCATGACGCTCTCCGCATTAGAGTTGCCCTCTACCTTGCCGCCTCCATCCTCACCGAACATAGGTGCATCTGCAGAACTGCGATGGCAGACCAATATGGTCGTCATGGTCTGGTATGTCGTAAATCACAGGGTAAAATTGCAAGACATGAAGAAGTCAACGACATCATCAAGAAGAGCCTCGCCACAGCCCGCTGCCCGGCACAAAGAGAACCACACTTATTCAGACCTAACGACCCTCAGAAGCGCCCAGATGGGGTCACCTTGCTTCCTTGGAAGGATGGTATGCTAGTGGTTTGGGACTACACGTGCGCTGCCACACTGGCCAGTACCTACCTCCACCACAGCACACGTGAAGGAGCTGGCGCTGCTTCTTTCAGGGAATCGCAGAAAATTATTACATACAGAGGTCTGGCACACTTCTACAGCTTTGTTCCGATCGGCTCGGAGACCCTCGGTTCGTTCCTGAAGTTCCTGAAGGAATTGGGGGACAAATTGATCAATGCTACAAAAGATCAGAGAGCAAAACGTTTGTTGTTCCAGCGCCTCAGTGTTACGATTCAGAGGAGGAATGCTCTATTTCTGTCTATTTTTGTAACAAACTAATCACCTTAGTATTTCTGTGATGGATTTGAGGTAAGGATCCTCTAATAGTGACTGTTTTGTTAATGCATGTGTTCCAAATATAATTCAACAACGATTGGTGCTGTTCAACGATCTAGGATCATAAACCAAATATTTGTAAAGGTCTAGTTAATTTATCTCGCATAATGTAGGTTCATGCCACTCAGATACTAACATTACCCTGCAAATACGAGTGGACGAGCTACCTTCCGTACACTTCAACAGGGGGAGGAGGGGTGGACGGTGCCGGGCCACGTGGCAGAGTCGTGGGTGAATTTGAACCTTGTGGACGACAACGACAACGACCCCGTCTTCAGCGAGGACCACGCCTACCTCACCCTACCGGAGGACACGCCCCCAGGCACCCTTCTCACCACTTTCACTGCCCTCGACCCAGACAAGGTGAGCCGTCATCGCCGTTTCCTGTTTTCTTGCATCTTCTCTCTGCAACTTTCTCCCTTTTTTTCTCTTTGTTCATTTTGTCTTTATAGATATATGTGTGCATATTATTGATAATTTTTGCCACGTACTATCATCAGATATTTTAATGTTCTCATCAGACGGGCCTCATATAAAGCACCGAGCATTACATTTTCTCTTTACCTCTTCAAAAAACACCAAAATATTTTCTACAATTCTGCAGTGAATTTACACTTTCGTTTTGGTCTTATATTTGGAGGTACTATATTATATAAAATATACTTCCTGAAAGAATATTATCACACAGACACTGAAAAGATGCTGAAACTGTCTTTGTTGGACTAATTAGAATGCATAACAAATTTCTTGTTTGTTCCTGGGGAGTAAGTTTATATTTCTTATTTCAAATGCCTCCAAAGTATTGTAAATGGTTGTTACTCCCTTTAAACTTTGCTTCGACCTTTACATTGGGCAATGAAGTTTAGAGTAAAGTTTGAGTGTAATAATAGCCATTTTTTAATTTTTATTTTAATTTTGAAGCATAACTAATTAGAAAAAAAACAGTAATAATAGCCAAAATAATATATTTCTTTAATTTTGAGGCATAACTATGTGAAAATAACACTACCTAGAAAATAAAACAGTTTCATAGTAATATCATGCAAGTCAGAAATGAGAACGGAATGGTGCATTAAGTTAGAAGTGTTCAGATCTTATAAACAATTATAACATGAGTGCCAAACGTTTACTTCATCTCCGTTCTTTCCAAATATCTCTGATTAAATAGAATATTCGCTGCTTTAATGATATATACTATAAACTTCACCAATTAATATCCAAGTATTCTCTTTTGTGTTTCTCTTTCCAGGAACCAATACTTTGGCGCTGGTTGTGCTCACTTCTGTGTACATACAGTTGTTGCGTAATATTTCTTACTTTTAATTGTCATCCTAGAACCACTGCTCTTTTAATCCGGAATGATGTTCCTCGTGACCATCCCTGCCCTCGTGACCTTCCTTACCCTCGTGACCTTCCCTGCCCTCGTGACCATCCCTACCATCGTGACCATCCCTGCCCTCGTGACCTTCCCTACCATCGTGACCATCCCTGCCCTGGTGACCTTCCCTGCCCTCGTGACCATCCCTGCCCTCGTGACCGTCCCTGCCCTCGTGACCATCCCTGCCCTCGTGACCTTCCCTGCCCTCGTCACCATCCCTGCCCTCGTGACCTTCCCTGCCCTCGTGACCTTCCCTGCCCTCGTGACCATCCCTGCCCTCGTGTCCATCCCTGCCCTCGTGACCTTCCCTGCCCTCGTGACCTTCCCTGCCCTCGTGACCATCCCTGCCCTCGTGACCATCCCTGCCCTCGTGTCCATCCCTGCCCTCGTGACCTTCCCTGCCCTCGTGACCTTCCCTACCCTCGTGACATTCCCTACCCTCGTGACCATCCCTGCCCTCGTGACCATCCCTGCCCTCGTGACCTTCCCTGCCCTCGTGACCTTCCCTGCCCTCGTGACCTTCCCTGCCCTCGTGACCTTCCCTGCCCTCGTGACCTTCCCTGCCCTCGTGACCTTCCCTGCCCTCGTGACCATCCCTGCCCTCGTGAACGTCCCTGCCCTCGTGACCATCCCTGCCCTCGTGACCTTCCCTGCCCTCGTGACCTTCCCTGCCCTCGTGACCTTCCCTGCCCTCGTGACCTTCCCTGCCCTCGTGACCATCCCTGCCCTCGTGACCGTCCCTGCCCTCGTGACCGTCCCTGCCCTCGTGACCATCCCTGCCCTCGTGACCTTCCCTGCCCTCGTGACCTTCCCTGCCCTCGTGACCTTCCCTGCCCTCGTGACCATCCCTGCCCTCGTGTATATCCCTGCCCTCGTGACCTTCCCTGCCCTCGTGACCTTCCCTACCCTCGTGACATTTCCTACCCTCGTGACCAGCCCTGCCCTCGTGACCATCCCTGCCCTCGTGACCTTCCCTGCCCTCGTGACCTTCCCTGCCCTCGTGACCTTCCCTGCCCTCGTGACCTTCCCGGCCCTCGTGACCGTCCCTGCCCTCGTGACCTTCCCTGCCCTCGTGACCTTCCCTGCCCTCGTGACCTTCCCTGCCCTCGTGACCTTCCCTGCCCTCGTGACCTTCCCTGCCCTCGTGACCATCCCTGCCCTCGTGACCGTCCCTGCCCTCGTGACCATCCCTGCCCTCGTGACCTTCCCTACCCTCGTGACCTTCCCTGCCCTCGTGACCTTCCCTGCCCTCGTGACCTTCCCTGCCCTCGTGACCTTCCCTGCCCTCGTGACCATCCCTGCCCTCGTGACCTTCCCTGCCCTCGTGACCTTCCCTGCCCTCGTGACCTTCCCTGCCCTCGTGACCTTCCCTGCCCTCGTAACCTTCCCTTCCCTCGTGACCTTCCCTGCCCTCGTGACCTTCCCTGCCCTCGTGACCTTCCCTGCCCTCGTGACCTTCCCTGCGCTCGTGGCCGTCCCTGCCCTCGTGACCTTCCCTGCCCTCGTGACCTTGCCTGCCCTCGTGACTATCCCTGCCCTCGTGACCGTCCCTGCCCTCGTGACCATCCCTGCCCTCGTGACCTTCCCTGCCCTCGTGACCTTCCCTGCGCTCGTGACCGTCCCTGCCCTCGTGACCTTCCCTGCCCTCGTGACCATTCCTGCTCTCGTGACCTTCCCTACCCTCGTGACCATCCCTGCCCTCGTGACCATCCCTGCCCTCGTGACCTTCCCTGCCCTCGTGACCATCCCTGCCCTCGTGACCTTCCCTGCCCTCGTGACCTTCCCTGCCCTCGTGACCTTCCCTGCCCTCGTGACCTTCCCTACCCTCGTGACCTTCCCTACCCTCGTGACCTTCCCTGCCCTCGTGACCTTCCCTGCCCTCGTGACCTTCCCTGCCCTCGTGACCTTCCCTGCCCTCGTGACCTTCCCTGCCCTCGTGACCTTCCCTGCCCTCGTGACCTTCCCTGCCCTCGTGACCTTCCCTGCCCTCGTGACCATCCCTACCCTCGTGACCATCCCTACCCTCGTGTCCATCCCTGCCCTCGTGACCATCCCTACCCTCGTGACCATCCCTGCCCTCGTGACCATCCCTGCCCTCGTGACCATCCCTGCCCTCGTGACCATCCCTGCCCTCGTGACCATCCCTGCCCTCGTGACCTTCCCTGCCCTCGTGACCATCCCTGCCCTCGTGACCTTCCCTGCCCTCGTGACCTGCCCTTCCCTCGTGACCTTCCCTGCCCTCGTGACCTTGTCTACCCTCGTGACCATCCCTGCCCTCGTGACCTTCCCTGCCCTTGTGACCTACCCTAACCCTCGTGACCATCCCTGCCCTCGTGACCTTCCCTGCCCTTGTGACCTTCCCTAACCCTCGTGACCATCCCTGCCCTCGTGACCTTCCCTGCCCTTGTGACCTTCCCTAACCCTCGTGACCTTCCCTAACCTCCGTGACCTTCCCTAACCTCTGTGACCTTCCCTAACCCCCATGACCTTCCTCGTGTCACCACAACAAGAGGTGAAAAACGTCCCCAGTTTGGTTACGTATGAGTCACACAAGAACAGTTCATGAACACTCACGTCTGACATGGTAGATATCAGCAGTGTGCGTGGCTTGTCACCAAGTGATGGTTCAGACGTGATATACAGACACTACTCAGGAATGAACTGTTCTCTTTTTGAGAGTAAAGAAGATTAGGGCCGAGGACAGTACACACAAAATGTAGTTATCATCAGTATTCTTCACTAAAACCATTTGTCAGTTAATAACTATTAACGACCACTACCTCTAGCGTCAGTTAATCACCAATATATCTAGGAAGTATAGAGTCTGATTCGGTACAGTAATAGTGCTGGTAACGCCAATTAACACTAAACATTTGGCAATAACCATCGCTAAGAACCATCGAATTAGTGTAGCGCAACAGCCAGGGAGGACACAGCCAGGTGTCCTACACTAATACCCGCCACTAACCGCAGGGAGGACACAGCCAGGTGTGCTACACTAATACCCGCCACTAACCGCAGGGAGGACACAGCCAGGTGTGCTACACTAATACCCGCCACTAACCGCAGGGAGGACACAGCCAGGTGTCCTACACTAATACCCGCCACTAACCGCAGGGAGGACACAGCCAGGTGTGCTACACTAATACCCGCCACTAACCGCAGGGAGGACACAGCCAGGTGTCCTACACTAATACCCGCCACTAACCGCAGGGAGGACACAGTCAGGTGTCCTACACTAATACCCGCCACTAACCGCAGGGAGGACACAGTCAGGTGTCCTACACTAATACCCGCCACTAACCGCAGGGAGGACACAGCCAGGTGTGCTACACTAATACCCGCCACTAACCGCAGGGAGGACACAGCCAGGCGTCCTACACTAACACCCGCCACTAACCGCAGGGAGGACACAGCCAGGTGTGCTACACTAATACCCGCCACTAACCGCAGGGAGGACACAGCCAGGTGTGCTACACTAATACCCGCCACTAACCGCAGGGAGGACACAGCCAGGTGTGCTACACTAATACCCGCCACTAACCGCAGGGAGGACACAGCCAGGTGTGCTACACTAACACCCGCCACTAACTGCAAGGACACAGCCAGGTGTGCTACACTAACACCCGCCACTAACTGCAAGGACACAGCCAGGTGTGCTACACTAATACCCGCCACTAACCGCAGGGAGGACACAGCCAGGTGTGCTACACTAATACCCGCCACTAACCGCAGGGAGGACACAGCCAGGTGTGCTACACTAATACCCGCCACTAACCGCAGGGAGGACACAGCCGCGTGCGCTACACTAATACCCGCCACTAACCGCAGGGAGGACACAGCCAGGTGTCCTACACTAATACCCGCCACTAACCGCAGGGAGGACACAGCCAGGTGTGCTACACTAATACCCGCCACTAACCGCAGGGAGGACACAGCCAGGTGTGCTACACTAATACCCGCCACTTACCGCAGGGAGGACACAGCCAGGTGTCCTACACTAACACCCGCCACTAACCGCAGGGAGGACACAGCCAGGTGTCCTACACTAATACCCGCCACTAACCGCAGGGAGGACACAGCCAGGTGTCCTACACTAATACCCGCCACTAACCGCAGGGAGGACACAGCCGCGTGCGCTACAAGATAGCAGAGGACAGTGACCCCAGACGACAGTTCAGTGTAGACGGGTCGGGGGCGGTCTGGGTTGTGGGCGGCCTGGATCGCGAGACAGCGGCCGCCCACTCTGTTCTGGTGTGGGCGGTGGACGATGGCACCCCACCCAGGACTGCCACAGCCACCCTCACTGTAAGTACCCATGTTATCACTGTATTTACACTGTAAGTACACGTTATCACTGTATCAGCACTGTAAGTACACATGTTATCGCTGTATCAGCACTATGTACACATGCTGATATTACAGGTTGTATCAGTCCTGTAATTACACATGTTATCACTGTATCAGCACTGTAAGTAAACATGTTATCACTGTATCAGCACTGTAAGTACACATGTTGTCACTGTATCAACCCTGTAATCACACATGTTATCACATTATCAGCACTGTAAGTACACATTTTATCACTGTATAAGCACTGTAAGTAGACATGTTATCCCTGTATCAGCACTGTAAGTACACATGTTATCATTGTATCAACACTGTAAGTACAAATGTTATCACTGTATCAGCCCTGTAATCACACATGTTATCACTGTATCAGCACTGTAAGTACACATGTTATCACTGTATCAGCCCTGTAATCACACATGTTATCACATTATCAGCACTGTAAGTACACATTTTATCACTGTATCAGCCCTGTAATCACACATGTTACCACATTATCAGCACTGTAAGTACACATGTTATCACTGTTTCAACACTGTAAGTTCTCAATTTGCCGGCTTCAGCACTTCAGATGCACAACCCATCAGTGTTGTCTTCCACACACAACTCTTGGTAATAGACACTGCCCCTTGCTTCCTGTCTATTGCTTACAAGATCTCTTACAATTATCCTCGAACCCAACCTGTTAAGTCTGATTTGGACAGAATGAGATCTACCTGGATTTTGAGGGATAACAGGAACGGACATCTGTGTGTCCTTTACAAATGATATATTTGTTTATTCTTCCAAATTATTCTTCATTGTTGTCAAAATTATTCACACCTATTGATAGGTCCTCAGAGTTAATCCTCTGGTGTTTGGTTGACCTTTATAGTTTAATGTGTCAGTCTGTCAGTAATGGGATTAAACAGGCAAGAGTTCCTCTTCCTTCTCCCACCTTGGTCCTACTCAACACCATCTGCGTCTTGTTGACATTCCTCCTATCAGAGAATTAACGTCTGCCAACTCAAATGGGCCACGAAATAACTTGGTAATTTTCTTTCCAAAATTTTTGTAAGCAAATGAAAGTATACAGTAAAACAAAATCCCTTGGTACTCTCTCTAATGATTGTTGTCACCATTATTCTCAACGAATACACACGTGAATTCCTTGGACAAAATTATGTTCGCTGTGTTTTAACTTAATGCTGTCGGGAAAGCTGTCTCTGCATTTTGATGGAAAATGTCATTAGTTAAAATCCACTATGATGCTGGTTGGATGGTGTGAATCATTAGGTTACAGTGCACTGATAGTTGTGTATACTCATGAGGTCCGTGTTGCCCTACCTCGGCCACTAATTCTAGAGTCGTCATTACCGTTTCTTTGATCAAAACTTACTGACACTCTCACAATAACGAATTTATAATTTATCACTGTAACAATGCACTGATCTTCTCTTGAGTGAACACCTGTGCTCACTGAACATCAAGAAATCCGAGACTTACATTTCCTTAGTATGGTTTCCGATAACCTGGAAAACACAGTAACAGACCTTCTCTGGAACGACTACAGTTTCTCTTGGCAGTTTCTCCAGGTCAGAGTGTCCCTTAAAGCGAAACACGAAGGCTCAGGGTTCCGAAATGCATCGAGAAACCTCAATGCACCTCGAAGATTCATCTTACTCGTCCAGGACACAAATTTTCTTTACTAAGTTTTCTTAGTAATGAGAGCTCATAAAGGTACTTACTCCAGGCTATCTCGAATACTGCCGTCGTCCGACTGCTCTGAAGCCAATCATCGAAATACCTTCTTTTGAGCAAATATTAAAATATTCGGCCACACAACAGAGAATTACATCTTCCAACTTCCGATGTCGGGTCTGGACTCGCTCTTATCATGTGACATTCCTTTTATTGCATTCGCCGTTCAATTTTCAATTTGTGTTCTCTAATTGGTTAATTGATCAGACACTCCATTTGTAATCAAATGCTTACCTGACTGGTAGAGTTTGGAATTGTAAACACTGCTTAACTTAAAGTGACTAAAGAAACCTATACAAATTCTAAGAGTACAGCCATAACACCTGACAAAGCAAGAGGAGTGGCTGTCTAATAATGTACATATTTACATGACGACAGGAGTTTGTTTCAGCTTATCTAGGACAACACCATTTCCCACATGAGCTCCTGGAAAAGCACAGTATTTATATAATTTGTCACAATCTCAACACTGAAAGTGCACAACTTGTCACTGTATCAGCACTGAAAGTACACAAGTTGTAACTGTCTCGGCACTGTAAGACACAACTTGTCACTGTATCAGCACTGAAAGTACACAAGTTGTAACTGTCTCGGCACTGTAAGACACAACTTGTCACTGTATCAGCACTGAAAGTACACAAGTTGTAACTGTCTCGGCACTGTAAGACAAAACTTGTCACTGTATCAGCACTGAAAGTACACAAGTTGTAACTGTCTCGGCACTGTAAGTACACAACTTGCCACTGACTCGGCACTGTAAGTACAAAACTTTTCACTGTCTCGGCACTGTAAGTACACAACTTGCCACTGTGTCAACACTGTAAGTACACAACTTGTCACTGTCTCGGCATTGTAAGTACAAAACTTTTCACAGTCTCGGCACTGTAAGTACACCACTTGTCACAGTCTCGGCACTGTAGGTACACAAATTGTCACTGTCTTAACACTTTAAGTACACAACTTGTCAACACTGTAAGTACACAACTTGACACTGTCTCAACACTGTAAGTACACAACTTGTCACTGTCTTAAGTATGTCGTTCTAACCATGGAAGGATGGTCAACCATGTGCCTGAAGGCGACCTCACCCTGGCTGGGTGCTCTTCCTGCAGGTGAACGTGACGGACGTGAACGACAACCCGCCGTTCCTGGCGGAGCCTCGGGAGGTGGAGGTGGTGGAGAACGGCGGGGCCCAGGTGGTGGCCCGGGTGAGGCTTGGGGACCCTGACGACTGGCGCCAGGGCCACGGGCCGCCCTTCACTGTAGCCCTCGACCCCAGGGCGCCCCAGCACGTCCTCGACACCTTCAGGGTCACCCACGACAAGAGTGAGTTGTCAGGGGTCACCCACGACAAGAGTGAGTTGTTAGGGGTCACCCACGACAAGAGTGAGTTGTCAGGGGTCACCCACGACAATAATACCTGTAAATAAATTTAGTTTAAATTTGTTATCAAGTAACAAAAATTGGTAAGTTGTCTTTCTAAATACATGTTAATTCTGTTTATAACCTTTGCTGTTTTTGGTTCTTTGGTAACCAACAAGATGGCGAGCTGATACAATAGCGTTTGCTGGACTTCGCATGCAGAGTTGAAACAAAAATATGATATTCTTTTTCATGCAGAGATGTCATCCCCACGCGCATCCCTCACTGTGTTCGGACATTCACGCTCCAATATTTCTGAGTTGTAGAAAAGTTTTATATATCGTGAGTGAGGACAAATGACGTGTGTTGCAAATGGAATATTTAGTGGATGCTCGCGAGGTTAATCTTCGGATGTGTGTTTTGTTATGAGTGTGTATTTGTGGACTCATAATATTCACGAAGACGTACCGTGCGCGCTCCGTTAAAATCGTGACATTAACCGGGATTCTTAGGACTACTGCCATGGATTACTGATTCCAGACATAACAAAGTGCATAGTGACCCGCTGGAAAATTGAAAATAGTCATTAACAATAGAACTTTGTGCTAAATAGAGAATAAACGGGAGACCAGTGTGAGCCAGTGAACGAGGCTTTGTGTACATGCGTGTATTAGGAAAAAAAATAGTGAACGGTGATTCGTGGAACAGTGATGTGGAACGGGTATCACAACAACATATAAGTTGGAAGTGAATATTATAAATATAGAATACTAGAAATATAGAATAGTGGCAAGAGGCGGCATCAGTGGTTATAAATCGGGTAACTGGAAACTGGTGACATCAACCTGGGACAACAAGAGGTCACCTGTACCGACCGGGGACCAGCTTCGCTACCCTACGCTAAGTACCTGCCATAAAGTTTGAACAAAATAACATACATAATATTACAAATATACGGTATACATATAATATTATAAATATTAAACATATAAATATATATACATATAATTTTATAAAGAGTTAAAAGGACTGACATCAACAAGTGATCCATACAGTGAATCTCAAATACAACAACGTGTCAACTGTACAGCCTCTGGGACCCTCACTCTCGACCGTGCGATAAGTACTGACCATACAGTAGAACAAATAAACATATATATTGTTACAAATATACAATATACATATAATATTATAAATATATAGATATATACAACAAAACAAGGCAAAATGGGAGTAAATAAACAAATTTGTGGCCACTGTAACAACTCCTTAAAGACGAAGGTAACGGGAATTGAATGTTATATCTGTAAGACTAGATTCCATTCGGCTTGTACAGGAGTGAGTAACACTACGGCACTGAGAGCTGGCCACTTGCTCTGGGTGTGTAAAAATGACCTGCCAGCTTGGAATATCCTAAAAAACCTTCTAGATAACATGACGCATGATCGGAAAACATCATTCATTGGAAGCCTACCAGCCATCCAGAAGGAGTGGGAAAGGAACAACAATTCTAATATACAAGGGGCGGAGGCTATAGTCAGGGATGAAACTGAGGCTGAAACTCAGGAAGTTGTAAACTCTGACTCAGTAGGCCAGGATGTAGATGACAGTAAACTAGAAAGTGTACCAGACAGCACTGACAGCTCGATAGGTACAGACACTACGACGGTTCCCGATAGAGCAATTCAGAACAGAAGGACAGACTTATGCAAATTTTATGCAAAGGGCATATGCAGACATAGATATGCTGGTAATAAGAAAGGATTAGAATGCAGTTACCAACATCCCAAAAAATGTTTAAATATGCTTAGGAAAGGTGAGTGTCGATTTGGATCAATATGTAGGTTTTTCCATCCTGACATGTGCCAAACCTCACTGGAGGACAGAAAATGCTATGACCTCAGCTGCCCACACTTTCACGTGAAAGGCACGGAACGCTACATAAAGAGTGGCAAGCAGGGTAATGAATTTGGAGGAAACTATATTTTTTTTATACCAGACCGACAGAGAATTCAAAAGGAGCAGCATGGAGAGTGTATGGAACTGGATGCCAGATCCACTTGCATTCCAGAATTACAGATACAATTACACACCGAAAGGGAACTACAACTACGACAGACAACTGCCCTACAACAATCAGTACTGGTCAGAACAAACTCATTATGTCCACGCATAATGGGCTTGCCGAAAAAGTCTCCCATTCAAACTATCACTAATAGAGTAACCTCATTCATCTTTGCCAACATACAAGGACTGAAAACAAGAACAAACAACAAAGTACAGTTCATAAATGGCCTCCTCACGGAGTCAAATGCAGTATTTGGAGCTTTCACAGAAACCCATGCAGGGGAATTGTTGGACAGTGAGATCTGGATTCCAGGATATAACCTATACAGGTGTGATAGGAAAATTAGGTCACATGGAGGAGTGGGTCTGTATATTAGGGAAGACCTTGTATGCTCGGAGCTCCTAAACGTTACAAATGAGGTGGTAGAGGTACTGGGATTAAAAATAGAGAAAATAAATTTAGTGATTATTCTAATATACAAACCGCCAGATGCAACGGCTGAGGAATTCACAGAACAGATAAGCAAAATAGAGAATAGCCTTGATAATTTGGAGAACCCGATACCTGATATTATCTTCCTAGGTGACTTCAACTTGCCTAGTCTCAGGTGGAAAATAGCAAACAATAATATTATACCAGGAAATCTATCAGGACCTAACCAACCACAGATTAGAGAACTACTTAGATTCTGTGACAAATTTTCACTCAATCAGCAGATATCGGAGCCAACGAGAAATGAAAATATTCTAGATCTGGTCTTTACGAACAATGAAGACATTATCAGAGACATTACGATATCAGATACCACATACTCAGATCACAAGCTCATTGAAGTGCAAACGACCATCAATACTCAGAATAGACCTAAAACGTTGATAAAGCGAGAGGGGCTATTCAGTAAATTCAATTTTAATAATAAAAGGATAGACTGGGAGATAATAAACAGGGAACTTACAAACATTCCATGGGGAACTGTTCTAAGTAATACAAGTCCTACAGAAGGAATAGAAAAACTGACTTCAGAAGCGTATCAAGTCTGTCTGAAACATGTTCCTTTGAGGAAAGCCAGAAAGAGATCTAACGTAGAAAGAGAACGCAGACGACACTATAAACGCAGGAAAAAAATAACGGAACTGCTTATGCAGACACGAATTTCCCGTCAAAGAAGGAATAATTTAAATAGGGAGATTGAAGAAATCGAGCGGAAATTGAAACACTCATATGAAACTGAAGAAAGGCAGTTAGAACAGAAAGCAATTCAGGAAATAAAGAAAAATCCAAAATATTTCTTCTCATATGCGAAATCAAAAGCAAAACCACTGCCAGTATTGGACCTATTCGTACAAGTGAAGGTTCATACACGGAGGATGACAAAGAAATTAGTGAAATCCTAAAAAAGCAGTATGAGGACATGTTTAGCACTCCAATAAACAACATGAAGGTGGAAGATCCAGACAATTTCTTTATGCGGGATATTCAAACCCCTGTAAATATAACTGATATAAACACGAGCGCACTAAATTTTGAAAGAGAAATTGAAAACATGCCCATGCACTCGGCCCCAGGTCCAGACTCATGGAATTCAATATTTATAAAGAAATGCAAAGTGCCGGTAGCACAGGCACTCAGTATAGTGTGGAGGAAGAGCTTGGACACGGGGGAGATACCAGATGCACTTAAAGTAGCAGACATAGCCCCTCTACACAAGGGAGGGAGCAAAGCATTGGCAAAGAATTATAGACCAGTTGCACTAACATCGCACATCATAAAAGTATTTGAGAGAGTGATTAGGAGTCAGGTCACCAATTTCATGGAGACCAATGACCTTCACAACCCAGGCCAACATGGATTTCGAGCGGGAAGATCGTGCCTCTCACAGCTACTTGAGCACTACGACAAAGTCACTGAGGCATTAGAAGAAAAACAGAATGCTGATGTGATATACACGGACTTCGCAAAGGCTTTCGATAAATGTGACCATGGCGTGATAGCACACAAAATGAAGTCAATGGGAATAACCGGTAAAGTAGGACGCTGGATACTCAGTTTTCTGTCAAACAGGACTCAGCGAGTAACGGTCAACCATATAAAATCTAGTCCAAGTGCAGTTAAAAGCTCTGTACCTCAGGGTACAGTCCTTGCACCGCTGCTTTTCCTTATTCTCATATCAGATATAGACAAAAATACAAGTCACAGTTTCGTATCATCCTTTGCAGATGACACAAAAATCAGTATGAAAATTACCTCGGCTGAAGACATTGAAAAACTTCAAGCTGATATTAATAAAGTTTTCGACTGGGCATCAGAAAATAGCATGATGTTTAACAATGATAAATTCCAGGTACTCAGGTACGGTAAAAATGAGGACCTTAAACATAATACAGAGTACAAAACACAATCAAATGTACCCATAGCAGGAAAACAGCATGTAAAGGATTTGGGAATAATAATGTCTGACGACCTAACGGTTAAGGAGCATAACCAAGCAAATATTGCGACAGCCAGAAAAATGATAGGATGGATTACGAGAACTTTCAAATCCAGGGATCCCATCACAATGGTTGTACTCTTCAAGTCACTTGTGTTGTCCCGTCTTGAGTACTGCTCAGTACTCACTTCCCCCTTCAGAGCAGGAGAGATTGCTGAAATAGAGGGAATACAGAGAACATATACGACACGCATAGACGCAATAAAGCACCTAAATTATTGGGATCGTCTCAAAGCCCTACAAATGTACTCACTAGAAAGAAGACGAGAGATATATCAAATAACATACACCTGGAAGATACTGGAGAGCCAAGTACCAAATCTACACAGTAAAATAATAACGTACTGGAATGAACGATATGGAAGAAAATGTAGAATAGAACCAGTGAAGAGCAGAGGAGCCATAGGCACAATCAGAGAACACTGTATAAACCTCAGAGGTCCGCGGTTGTTCAACGTCCTCCCAGCAAGCATAAGACATATTGTCGGAACAACCGTGGACATTTTCAAGAGGAAACTAGATTTATTCCTCCAAGGAGTGCCGGACCAACTGTGCTGTGGTGGGTATGTGGGCCTGCGGACCGCTCCAAGCAACAGCCTGGTGGACCAAACTCTCACAAGTCAAGCCTGGCCTCGGGCCGGGCTTGGGGAGTAGAAGAACTCCCAGAACCTCATCAACCAGGTATACAGGTTTCAACTACTATTAGGAGAAAGCGCCAAGTCATTATGATAATATAGCTTTTGGAAAGGATCAGGATTTGGGATGGGACGGGGGGAAAGGAATGGTGCCTAACCACTTGGATGGTCAGGGATTGAACGCCGACCGGCATGAAGCGAGACCGTCGCTCTAACGTCCACCCTAAGTGGTTGGGCTTCAATATGCTGAGTACTCCACTTAAAATGATATAAATTTGTGAATCACCTACGATCTTTGTTCCCACTTGCCCTTGTCTTAATAAATTCTTAGGAATTTGATATATGATAATCTTGTCACCCCTCCCCCCTCAAAATCCATTCTTAGAGAGACGTGTAATTGATCTCCTCTACTTGTAATGTACTCATTCATCACTCGAGTGTATCATCACTATGTATTGCGTTCATACAGGTCGACAATTACCAGCCTTTTATATAGATTCGATACTAGTTAAATATAGCCAAATAATTTACAGATGCGCTTGGATTCCACTCACACTATGTATGAATAAATTATATGTTTCATTTAAATTCATGAAGAGTTGTGGTTGTCTATCTTGTTTTAACAGCACCAATCTGATACGAACATGTCATTGTGGAAAATTTAATAGAACATTAAACTGCTGTTTTTAATATAACGATAATTGAAAAAACAAACTTTAAATAATTAATTAAAACTATGATCTTCACTCACTTCTGAACACAACTGAATGAAATTCGGTTGTCTTTAGAACTGTCGTATAGCAGCATCTATGGTCACTCCCCCACCCCTGGTGACGACACTGACCCCTGGTGACGACACTGACCCCCTGGGGATGACACAGACCCTCCTGGTGACGATACTGGCCCCCTGGTGATGACATTGGCCCCCTGGTGACGACACTGACACCCTGGTGACGACACTGACCCTTGGTGACGACACTGACCCCCTGGTGACGACACTGACCCCCTGGTGACGACACCGACTCCTGGTGACGACATTGACCCTTGGTGACGACACTGACACCCTGGTGACGAGACTGACCCTTGGTGACGACACTGACCCCCTGGTGACGACACTGACCCCATGGTGACGACAGTGACCCCTGGTGACGACATTGGCCCCCTGGTGACGACACTGACACCCTGGTGACGACACTGACCCCGTGGTGACGACACTGACCCTTGGTGACGACACAGGCCCCCTGGTGACGATACTGGCCCCCTGGTGATGACACTGACCTCCTAGTGACGACACTGACCTCCTGGTGACGACACTGACCCTATGGTCAGAGCCTATGCCCTTATGGTCAGAGCGTGCAGAGATCATTTATTGCTAGAATCCACTCAGTAAAACATCTAAATTACTGGACCCGACTAAAGAGCCTAAATTTGTACTCCCTTGAGTGCAGGCGGGAGAGATACATAATAATTTACACGTGGAAAATAATTGAGGGGCTGGTCCCAAACCTGCACACAGAAATAACATCACATGAGACCAGGAGGCATGGAAAGATGTGCAGAATATCCCCGTTGAAAAGCAGAGGTGCAACAGGTACTCTGAGAGAGAACTCTATCAACGTCAGAGGCCCGAGACTGTTCAACACGCTTCCACTACACATAACGGGCATAACTGGCAGACCCCTCACAGTGTTCAAGACAGAACTGGATAAGCACCTCCAAAGGATACCTGATCAACCAGGCTGTGACTCATACGTCGGGTTGCGAGCAGCCGCGTCTAACAGCCTGGTTGATCAGTCCAGCAACCAGGAGGCCTGGTCGACGACCGGGCCGCGGGGACACTAAGCCCCGGAAGCACCTCAAGGTAACCTCAAGGTATGGTGACGACACTGGCCCCCTGGTGACGACACTGACCCCTGGTGACGACACTGGCCCCCTGGTGACGACACTGACCCCTGGTGACGACACTGGCTCCCTGGAGACGACACTGACCCCTGGTGACGACACTGACCCCTGTTGACGACACGGGCCCCCATGGTGACGACACTGGCCCCCTGGTGACGACACTGACCCCTGGTGACGACACTGACCCCTGGTGACGACACGGGCCCCCATGGTGACGACACTGACCCCGGGTGACGACACTGACCCCTGGTGACGACACGGGCCCCCATGGTGACGACACTGGCCCCCTGGTGACGACACTGGCCCCCTGGTGACGACACGGGCCCCCTGGTGACGACACTGACCCCTGGTGACGACACTGGCCCCCTGGTGACGACACTGGCCCCCTGGTGACGACACTGGCCCCCTGGTGACGACACTGGCCCCCTGGTGAAGACACTGGCCCCTGGTGACGACACTGACCCCTGGTGACGACACGGGCCCCCATGGTGACGACAGTGGCCCCCTGGTGACGACACTGACCCCTGGTGACGACACTGGCCCCCTGGTGACGACACTGGCCCCCTGGTGAAGACACTGGCCCCCTGGTGACGACACTGGCCCCCTGGTGAAGACACTGGCCCCCCTGGTGACGACACTGGCCCCCTGGTGAAGACACTGGCCCCCTGGTGACGACACTGACCCCTGGTAACGATACTGACCCCCAGGTGTCGACACTGACCCCTGGTGACGATAGTGACCCCTGGTGACGACAATGACCCCTGGTGACGACACTGATCCCCTTGTGACGACACTGACCCCTGTTGACGACACTGGCTCCTGGTGACGATACTGACCCTTGGTGACGATACTGACCCCTTGTGACGACACTGACCCCAGGTGACGACACTGACCCCAGGTAACGAAACTGACTCCCTGGTGACGACACTGACCCCTGGTGACGACACTGACCCCCTGGTGACGACACTGACCGCCTGGTGACGACACCGGCCCCCAGGTGACGACATCGATCCCCTGGTGACGACACTGGCCTCCTGGTGACGACACTGACCCCTGGTGACGACACTGACCCCCTGGTAATGATACTGACCCTCTGGTGTCGACACTGACCCCTGGTGACGATAGTGACCCCTGGTGACGACACTGGCACCCTGGTGACGACACTGACCCCCTGGTGACCACACTGACCCCATGGTGATGACACTGAACACTGGTGACGACACTGACCCCTGGTGACAACACTGACCCCCGGGTCACAACACTGACCCCCTGGTGACGACACTGACCCCTGGTGACGACACTGACCCCTGGTAATGATACTGACCCCCTGGTGTCGACACTGACCCCTGGTGACGATAGTGACCCCTGGTGACGACACTGACCCCCTGGTGACGACACTGGCCCCCTGGTGATGACACTGACCCCCTGGTGACGACACGGACCCCTGGTGACGACACTGGCCCCCCTGGTGTTGACACTGACCCCTGGTGACGACACTGACATCCTGTTGACGACACTGACCCCTGGTGACGCCACTGACCCCCTGGTGACCTTGTGCTTCTGACTCTGTTGAGTGTAACTTGGGCGCTGTTTGGTCCTAATATAGTGTTGTTGTGACCATTGTGAGGGCGTACTAGCCGGTACATTACCCACTGTGTTCTCCTGCAGGAGGGGACGAGGGGCGTGGCGTGGGCGTGGTGTGGGCGCGGGCGGGGCTAGACAGGGAGGAGCGGCGCTCCCTGCTGGTGCCGCTGGTGGTGGCGGACGCCGGCTGGCCGCCCCTCACCGCCACCGCCACCCTCACCGTCCATGTGGGCGACCTCAACGACAACCCCATGACCCCCGCCGCCAAGACTGTCACTGTCCACACCCTCCAGGTCAGTGCCACCCTCCAGGTCAGTGCCACCCTCCAGGTCTGTGTCACCCTCCAGGTCACTGCCACCCTCCAGGTCAGCACCACCCTCCAGGTCAGTGCCACCCTCCAAGTCTGTGCCACCCTCCAGGTCAGTGCCACCCTCCAGGTCAGTGCCTGTTGGAAATAACCAACAGATTATTCTCGCTTAACTCCCAATATTAATATTTACTAATAACACTAACACGTAGAATTAACACCGTTAGCGTTTCTATAGTAAGGCATAATTTAGCCAGAAAATTCCCACCCGTCATGACGCCAAGCGTCGATAGCAGGCTTAAACCTGAAATCTCCACACATGTTGGAGAAATATTTAGTTCAGTTAATTACTTTTTCATTCTAAAATTATTGTTCTTTATGAAAGAAATAACCATTTCACATGCTTATGTGTACTGAGCTCGGGTATTTACCCAAATTAATTATTCCAGTAAACTATTACTATGGCGTAAAATAAAAGCACGTCAACCCTTCTCGTTCAATTTGTGCAATGTTAATTAGATCAATTGCCTTACGAGAAAAGGTATTATTATCCAATATATTTATTGGTGACGATAGTTCAAATTGTACTCCTTCCGTTTCCCAAATAATTAATAATAAACCGAAATGGTTTACGTCCGAGATCGCTATGAGCGTCTTTGCGCATGCGTGACTGAGCGTGGTGGGAGGAAGGATGCGGGATTAAAGCTCAAGGCGTCGCGTGGTGCACACGTGCCTCCACAAACAGCAGCCATTTAACAACTTCACGTGGTCTACAGTACTCCAACTGTTTACTTGCGCGTCTACAAATATAGTCACGTCCACAACAATAAACGTCAGGGACTGGCAGACGCGATACAGCAGGCTTTAGTGTTCCAACACGCTCACGTTAAGTATACCTTTCAATCTGATGCATCATTCTACATTGTGTATTTGTGGATAGCCTGTCGTTAAGTTGTGTTAAGACCACCAATACAATGTTAGTTTCTTACATTTTTTAATTCAAATTTCAGTGAATATTGGAATAATTTATAGCCTAATCAATTGCTACTCAAATTTCCCTGATTACAGCGTGTAGACGAGGATAAACCAAGTTTTTCTTCCTTCACCTACGATGCTCACAACTGGTGTTTCTTCCTTATTGAGACCTTGTGAACACAATGATGAGTAGCGAAACACACTTAGTGAAGTCGTCTTACAGATAAGACTAAAACTTGTTTAGTAGAAAATTTGATTAATGTCATCATTAATTTATATATATATATATATATATATATATATATATATATATATATATATATATATATATATATACATATATATATATATATATATATATATATATATATATATATATATATATATATATATATATATATATATATATATAAATATTTATGATCGATGTTCCCTTCGGGAATCTTAATTTTAAGATGAATAGGAAAACCAGGGATATACTGAACATCTTGTATCAGAATCTTTACTTTAAAAAACATAACGTTTCGAATACTTCTCGTATTCATCATCAGATCTAAAAGAAAAAAACAGAAATCACAGTCAAATAGCTGGTAAACAAAGAACTCATACTGAATATAATTGCCTATCAAAGAAAGGAAAAAGCTTAAAAAACAAAACACTTAAGCGCACTTAAAGTGATCAATACAAATAAAACTTATTAACTGTCACATATATTAAAACTAATTTAAAATCCATTAAACTACAAGATGAAATTTATAACTATTAAAACAAACCATTCTATTAAACTTACGTGAAGTGATCAGAAGTGAAACTTGATACCTAACACATAGATACTAAACACTATAGCAAATATTTATATAATGACTACAAATCTACAAAAAATGTATGTAAAATACAAACAGAATAAACGACAATTATAAAGTACTATCCAAAATCTTATAAAAAACTCAAATATTAAATAAAATTAAATACCAAAAAATGTATTATATATCCTAAATAAAAGATTATATTAATGTACAATGTTAAGACTTGAAATAAGTAAGAAAGGGCAAAGACATGGTAAACTAAACAAAATTAAACTACCAAAATAAACTAAAAATCAAATTACAGGGCCTACTGTGCACTATACAGTGTACAATTGAACAGCTGAAAGGTTGCTATTTAACAGAGGCCGCAGCTCCTTTATATATAAGGATTCCATTACTCTCAAATCTGACTGGCCATTCATACAAGTGTCCAGAATTTTAAAATCAGATTCCAGCAGAGAATGATCGAACTCATAACAATGGTTTCTAATCTCCGAAAATGCTGGTTTAGACAATGGTAATCCAGTCCTAAAAGATAATCCCCGGTGCTCAAGTATCCTAATCTTAAAGTTCCGAATGGAACTCCCGACATATCCAGCATTACAGCTGGAACAATTATACATATATACGACATTTGAGCACAAGGGGATAGGCACTTTATCTTTAAATTTAAAATAAGAGCCTATGGTATTTGTGTTGACAAAAATAAATCTAAAGTCTACTTGAGGATAACACTGCTGCAACAGTCTCCTCAAACGACTCCTTACAGAAAAGCTAATACTGCCATAAAATGGTAGTTTAATATATTTAAGATCCCTTTCCACTGTAGTAATCCTACACGATGGGTGAAACTTCTTATTTAAGAAATTCCTTATAAAAGTATAAACCATATGCACAGGATAACCATTATTTGAAAAAAAATTTCACAAGAAAATTAATTTCCTGATCAAAGTTATTCCAATTAGAACATAAAACAAAGGCCCTATTCAGTAGAGTGTTAATAGCATTTTTCTTAAAAATATCAGGAACAAAGGAATTAAAATTTAAACCTAAACCAGTAAAGGTTGGTTTCCTAAAAACATTAGTGTTGAACCCATTGAGGTTATTCACTTTTACATCAAGAAACGACAATGAATTATCAACTTCACACTCTGCAGTAAACCGTATATTACTATGTTGTGCATTAAGATACTCTCTAAATTTCTCAATATGACATTGGTCCCTAAACAACAAAAAAGTGTCATCTACATATCTTCTGTACAAGACTGGTTTAAAGGCCGAAGGACAATTATCAAGCCAATTTATTTCGTGAAAACTCAAAAAAGCATTAGCCAGTGCAGGACCTAAAGGAGACCCCATTGCTACTCCATCAATTTGTTTATAATAAATATTATTAAACATAAAGATGGAGTCTTTAACTGCTATTTCTAACAGCCGTCTGAATATTTTACTACAAAATCCAGACACTAAGTTAGTGTCAGCAAATAATTGACTTACACAGATATCAATGGTTTCCAACAGAGGAATATTAGTAAAAAGTGATTCAACATCGAAACTGGCCATTATAGTTGGGAACTCAAAATTTAAAGAGGAAAGTTCTTTTACAAAATCCTGAGAATTTCTCACAGTAAATTCATTATGCGTTAATGGTTCTAATAATGGAACCAGAAACTTAGCCAGTTTATAATTAAAAGTGCCAATCGCTGATAAAATAGGACGAATCGGTATACCTGTTTTATGAACTTTAGGTAACCCATATAAGATGCCAGGCTTAGAGCCAGTTGCAAGTAATTTAGTATAATCGAAAAGAGAGTCTTTCAAATTTCTTAAAACTCTATTCAGTTTATCCTCACATTTCAAAATATACGAGAATGGGTCTATATCAACCAACGTAAATTTAGAGGGGTCTTCTAACAACCTTTCCACCTTATTAACATACTCTAACTTGTCCAAAACTACTATACCCCTACCTTTATCTGGCCTGGTAATGCAAATACTCCTATCATTCTTTAAGCTATTAATACACTCCAATTTCCTTTTGTCAAAAGGAGGGAATGTAGATCTATATTTACCAAAGTCGTTAAAGACTTCATGTGCTAAGGAGGAAACAGTACTGATGATATTGGTCCAACCATAATTTATACCAGTCCTTAGGGTACAAGTTTTCAATGTGTTGCATAACCGCTCAAAACCTAAAAAATGATTAACAAATTTAGGTTTTTTACATGTCAACCCGGGTTGACATGTAAAAATACCAGTCCTTAGGGTACAAGTTTTCAATGTGTTGCATAACCGCTCAAAACCTAAAAAATGATTAACAAATTTAGGTTTTTTACATGTCAACCCGGGTTGACATGTAAAAAACCTAAATTTGTTAATCATTTTTTAGGTTTTGAGCGGTTATGCAACACATTGAAAACTTGTACCCTAAGGACTGGTATAAATTATGGTTGGACCAATATCATCAGTACTGTTTCCTCCTTAGCACATGAAGTCTTTAACGACTTTGGTAAATATAGATCTACATTCCCTCCTTTTGACAAAAGGAAATTGGAGTGTATTAATAGCTTAAAGAATGATAGGAGTATTTGCATTACCAGGCCAGATAAAGGTAGGGGTATAGTAGTTTTGGACAAGTTAGAGTATGTTAATAAGGTGGAAAGGTTGTTAGAAGACCCCTCTAAATTTACGTTGGTTGATATAGACCCATTCTCGTATATTTTGAAATGTGAGGATAAACTGAATAGAGTTTTAAGAAATTTGAAAGACTCTCTTTTCGATTATACTAAATTACTTGCAACTGGCTCTAAGCCTGGCATCTTATATGGGTTACCTAAAGTTCATAAAACAGGTATACCGATTCGTCCTATTTTATCAGCGATTGGCACTTTTAATTATAAACTGGCTAAGTTTCTGGTTCCATTATTAGAACCATTAACGCATAATGAATTTACTGTGAGAAATTCTCAGGATTTTGTAAAAGAACTTTCCTCTTTAAATTTTGAGTTCCCAACTATAATGGCCAGTTTCGATGTTGAATCACTTTTTACTAATATTCCTCTGTTGGAAACCATTGATATCTGTGTAAGTCAATTATTTGCTGACACTAACTTAGTGTCTGGATTTTGTAGTAAAATATTCAGACGGCTGTTAGAAATAGCAGTTAAAGACTCCATCTTTATGTTTAATAATATTTATTATAAAC